GAAAGACGGTTCATAGCGTATGTGTATTGACAGTCGAGCAATAAATAAAATTACTATGAAGTACATGTTTCCAATTCCCCGTCTGGATGATATGTTGGATCAACCATTCGACTCTACGATCTTCTCAAAGATTGACCTGAAAAGTGGATACCACCAGATCAGAATAAGGCCTGGAGATGAATGGAAGACGGCTTTTAAAACGCAACACGGTTTATATAAGTGGATGGTCATGCCTTTTGGGCTATCCAATGCTCCCAGTACGTTCATGCGGTTTATGCACCAGGTCTTGCGACCTTTTATGGGAAAATTCGTAGTGATTTATTTCAACGATATCTTCATTTATAGTCCGATGCGGGCCTCACACTTTGATCATCTCCATTAGTGGTGTTGAAGAAGCTTTGCGTATATTGGTTCGATTTTACGCTTTGAGAGTTTATGTTTCTGCATTGTAGTTGTAATAATCATTTGTTCACTACATTTTAAACTCTACACAGATAGATACAGCCTTGTGTGAATAAAATATTAGATAGTGGTCTTCGATGAGCTAGTGTCCAAAATTGAATAATTCAATTGAATAAATCCCCATGTACAGGGGATTAATTCACAAGGGCTCACCAGGTCACTCACATGGGTAGGCCCCACTATATATTTTAGAAAAATTATGCGTGGGCCCCACATGTGTGAGAAACATCTATGAGTTTTCTTCTATACGTATAGCGCGGTTCAATTCCATTTCATAAATAAAATTCTACTTTGGGTGTTTAAACTCAACATAGATGGTGACAGTAATAGCATCGAGAATTGGCTATGGATATAGACATGAATGACTTTGATGATCAAAACAAATTCACATACACGTAATAAAAATAGATCAAACAACTTAACAACAACAACAAAACATAGCAACAATGTAATTGCCATAATCATGCAATGCTCTTTTGGTCTGTCCTTTTCCTCTTACCAACAACAACGCATTGATTGATGGACCAATTTTGGAAATCGATTTATTGTCTTTGAACCTCTTTGAAGGTCATTAGTTATTATGAATTTAAAATAAATAAATTTAGCGTTTGAATGATGATAATGTGCAGTTTTGTCTCTCTTTTTGGTCATGGCTTTCACGCCTCAAATAATTTTGTCATTATTTCTTCACTGTTTTGATTGATGTAGTGCATTGAGATAGATAATCCGCCATCAACGCACAATTCTTGTAATGAGTAGCACATTTTAAGTAATTGCTACATGCCTTGTTTAATCAACATATGAGCAGCAAATTATTCATTTTCTTCAATCAATATCTTTGAGACTCACCTTAACTTGAAGATGTTTAATTCCCAGTTTCTGTTGAATGCTGATAATCCTAAAATTATTACCTTTGCTTGCTTTGCATGGTGAGATCCCTTCAAATTGGTATAATGAAAAGTACCAAAACCATTCTGATACCAACCAAATATCTACACATCTCAAATTGGTACATTATAGTTTTTGAAAAGTCTCAAAACTTGTATCATGGTCATGGTCATGGTCATGGTCATGGATGCCATCGTGTAATGAGGCACATGCATCTTGCCTAGGAACAATAATACACATGTATAGCTCACAAGAAACTAGTACGTATATAAACATCTCTTCTTGTTCTCAACACAAAAAACAAAAATCATATTCATTATACAGAAACATTCTATACAATAAAGGTGAAGAAGATTAGGAAAACAAGTAATATTTTTAATTCACTGTGCATCACTTAAATTGATGAGTTGGAGATCTCCCTTGTAACAGGGAAAGTTGACTTCTCAAAATCAGGGACCAGAAGAGGCTCTAAGGAATCTACTATGTCTCTCATTAATGGTCTTGCCTTTGGATTTCGATTTAAACAATGGTAAGCAAGCATGGCAGCCTTTTGAACTCCTTTTATGGGATAATCACCTTCTAATCTTGGGTCTACAATATCAAGCAATTTCTTCTTTTCTTTCATGAGAGGGATAGCCCAATCTGTAAGATTCTGTTCGCGGGCTCGTCTGGATTTATCCAGAGATTTTCTTCCTGTCAGAAGCTCAAGTAGAACCACACCGAAGCTATATACATCACTTCTAGGACTCAAATGGCCTATGCAATTGAGAGTTATATAAGATGAGTTGATTAGCATATGGTACTAAGCATATATTGACCTCTTATATCAGCATACATTTCAAACTAATTGTCTGCTAGTGATATCCATAAATACCTGTCATAATATATTCTGGTGCAGCATATCCGTAGGTTCCCATTATGCGAGTAGACACATGAGATTTGTCCCCAACTGGTCCATCCTTAGCTAGACCAAAATCAGAGAGTTTTGCATTGTAGTGCTGTTTACAGAGTGCATGTTACAAACACAAACTTAGCATAAGCCAATAAGATGAGGTAATTTAAACTGATTGATATATGAAGCACCTAAATTCTATACTTCTGCCAATCTTTAATTTCATCATTACTATCAGAAGCATGTATACAGCAGGGGCACTTTGAGAATCAAAATTTCATTTACTTTGAACTAGCTTATTTAGAAATGTTTTCATGGAAAAGAAGAAAATGAGACTGTTTTTGTGCTGCTGAACCCCAATGAGGAAGCTGGTGCTTTCAGTTGAAAAGCATGACTTCGTGAACAAAAGACTCCATGCTGTCTTTCTAAACCAGGTTATTACCTGTCTATGCACTAGAGTATTTCAGAGTGGCTTCATTTAGCATAATCTATGACTTTTTCCTATTTTTACATTCTCATCAACACGCAGTTCTGTTGAAATTAACTAACCGATCCATTTCAAAAACATATCTAAAAAATGGAGGCTTTTCGACAACAAACCTGGTCCAGTAAAATGTTAGAAGTCTTGAAATCCCGGTAGATAACAGGTTTCTCAGCTTCATGCAGAAAAGCAAGTCCTTTTGCTGCTCCAAATGCTATCTTCATTCTGATAGACCATGGAAGGGGAAGCAAGACTCCTGCAAGAAGCATCTAATCATGGATAATACTTGGGGGAAAAAAAACAAGAATAGGAGGCTGGTTAGGAAATTCGAAAGATCTATAACGGACGCTTACCAATTTAAAATACATTAGACCAAAAAATTAAATGAAAAAGAAAAATATTAAATCAAATTACCATGTTTGATAGTTCTCGAAATAACACATCACACGCCTCTCCCAAAATATAACATATAGACCATATTAAATAGTCTGAGGACTTTATTTTGAAATTGCAACAGAGTATGCTAACGAGGTACATTACATGCATGTTGGTGTGTTGCCTCTCTTCCAGAATAAAGGATAAGAAACAACAGTTCCCTAAAAGCCGTACCAAAGTTCAAGTATAAAAAGAACAGCAAATACTAAGCTCATCCTTTTTACTGGAGGGGTGCTCTTGGGAATTTGTAACGGACGTTTAGACAAATATTAGCCAAGATATTTGTCTAATTTCCTTATTGCTAGTTTATTTCCAGTAAAGATTGCCCTTGTAATTTGCATTTCCATAACGGGATATTTTGTAATGGCTATTTATTAGCAAGAGAATGTGAATGAAAGTATCTCATGAATTTGTCTTCAACCTTGTGTTGATTTGGGAGTTTGTTGGTTTACTCGAATTAACCAATACAAGGAAGCCTAGGACCCCTCGAAGTGTCCCACCATATCACCGTCATAGGTCGCCGACGCAAGGACGAACCTTGGTCCTTATCCATCAATCAACCCATTACTAAATCCATATCCCAAACACGTAACAGAATTGAAAGTATAACTTTTATGATCTGGGGGGCTCACGGAAAGTAGCATTATGTCAAAGTAGTAGTATTATGATGTAAAGTACGTGTCAGTTTCGGTCATGACCCTATTGAGTCATGGACAGTCCCGGAAAATCATAAACCGGCATCATAACATGGTTTAATGGAGAATGATGTCACAGAGGTAATATTAAACGCAAAAGATGTACATGGTGTAGGCTCACAATGACACTGCACGTTCTTACCTGCCTATCTTAAAGGGAATCTTTCATAGTTACTTCAAATAAATCAATCAATACTTTAAAATGAAATACATCTCGGTTTAACGTTGTGAAGTGAACAATATCAATACTTACTCGAAAATAGATTGTTTTCAACGCTCCCTCGAGACATATACTCGTATATTAGAACACGATGTTCATCTTCACAGCAATATCCAATCAATTTCACTAAATTTGGATGAGAAAGCTGCCCCAAAAAGATTACCTCAGCCTAAAAAACCACAAAAAGAAAAAAAAAACTCAGCAGAAAGGATCAAGAAATCTATTAGGACAAAGAAAATGCAAGCATGTCAAAGTGGACATTCCACCATTTACCAGCCATTCCCTGTGACCTTGATGACTGTTATCTCCATCATGAACCTTGACAGCAACCGTATTTGACTGGATCCCTTCTCTTAAATCTTCGGAAATGTGCCCTTTATATACATTTCCAAATCCTCCTCCACCTAACATGTAATCTTGTCTGAAGTTTCCCGTGATGGCCTTTAGCTCATCAAATGTAAAAGCAATCAGTGGATTAGCTGCCGTACTTCGACGCAGGTGTTCCACTTCCTCAGGATTTGATGGTAGCTTAGTGTCATCTTTCCATGCCTTTTCTGATGGACTTTGATCCTTCGGAGACTCTAAACAGGATGATGTAAAATATTACAAAAATAATGATAAATATAAAATACTGCACATGGAAAAGTTTAGAGCAACTCGTCTATGAGATTACACTAACGTGAGAGATCATGTGCCAAAAATACACACTTATTCTAGGGGTAAGCCTCGTCTGGGCGCAATTTTTTTCAAATTTTAAGAGAATGGACCGTTGCACGGATAAATCTCATTTCTTTATTCCATTTTATCTGACATGAATGTGACTTCAACTGTACCATTTAATCATTTGATTTTGCATTGCCAATTTTGCCCTTTTATCAATCAACGAATTCCATTTCCCACCTATCACTTTCCTTTCTTCACCTCCCTCTTTCCCTTATCCAATTGTGTACCGATTTCAGGGCTCAACAATCGAGGGAATCCCTGGACCAACATCGTTCCACAGCGTTACAACTTCGCCTTTCTCTTTCTAGCCCGCAAGTTTTTGCAATCGGAGCCCGCAGAACCCCTATCACGGCCAACGAATTGTAGAGAGAGAGACGGATAGCTTCGGAATTAAACCTTTCCGATTCCCCGTTATGAGTTATTTCTACTACCAGTTTATCTATCTTCAACACCATGGATCCATATACTACTCCGGTATGTTTACCCAACTTGCTCGTCTCGTCGGCGTAATTCTTCCGATTCCTTTATTAGAACTGAATTTCATTTGTTCATCACATACACTATAAAAGCACAAATTTTAAAATTCATTTCACGACTCACAGAGATGGGTTACCATCCCACTCCTCCTCTTCGAATGCTCCTCAAGCGCAGAACGAACCCATCTCCCTTAAAAATTCCAAGTGGAACGATAAGGAACATAAGATCTTTATGCGGCATATGAAACCATAATAGCAGAAGGTCACCGTCACCTTCAAGGCAAACTGTTATCTATTGCGTTCTTTAATTTTACTATCGGTTCAAATGCAACTGTCAAGGCAAACTGTTATCTGCTATGTTCTTTGATTTTACTATTAGTTCAAATGCAAACTGTTATACATTATGTTTCATGTCAAAATCTGTCCTCAATCTTACTTTTAAGATTGTGTTGGGAACAACCCCGAGCACACGTACTATATATTTTAGGCATAAATGCATGTTTTGAGTAATTTAGGGTAACTTAGCAACTTTACCATTTTCTAGGGATCTTGTGCTAATATTCTAATAATTGGAAATACGGGTTGTATATGAAATTATGATTTAATGATTGTTTTGGATATCTATTAAATTATTATCAGATTATTTGATATGAAAGTGTTTGAATAAGACGTGAAATTTTCTCATATCCCTACTAGAATCTTATCCTCATGTAGTCAGGATTTTCTTAAATTCAAATTTCATGATAAGTTGGATTGTTTGTTAAGAGTCCAAATTAATTTTAATTGAGGGTTCTATTAGAATTCTAACTTGATAGTTGCATTAACCTAATCACCACTATTTTAATATATATGCCTTTCACATAAAATCAGAGAAGGAAAAGTGAGAGAGAGGAGAAGAAGGGGAAAAAAAGAAAAGGAGAGACCCCCTGAGAGACAGAGAGAAGGAACCGGGGAAAGAAGAAAAAAGGAGAGGAAAAAAAAAGAATTAAAAGCTTTTTAGCGCGCTCGTGGTCCATTTGCAATAATTTTCAATCCTAAATAGCTCAGGTATACAAGCAATTCAACGAACAAGGTATGGATTCCTCTAAATGCCAAGTGGTTTTGTGTTTTCACTTTTTAATGTTTTAATTTAAGTATTTTATGTGCAATTATGCGATTCAAAATTAAAGAAGGATCTTGTGGGTAATACCATAGGATATTATGTAGATCTACAAAGAAACCTGACATGAGGCTAGAGACCCTAAGTGGAGATTGAGAATAGGTATGACCTAAGTGAGAATGAGATGGTCAAGCTTATATCCCACTAGAATATTATGTTACGTACGTAATTTACTTGGTTTTTATATTAAATTGTGAAAATACTCGCATGAAATCTATACTGAGTGTATACGTATGCTCATTCCATGAAAATAGTGTTCTACACCACTTACATTTCTCACTCTCTCGGTAGTGTTCTACATCACTTACATTTACATGAAAACAGCCACAGTCTACTATAACAGCCAAACTAATCATCAATATGAACTAGTGCCAAGTGGAAACCAAATATTAAGGGTGAAAAGAGAAAAATTCCTACTCTTAAGTCAATTGTTTACTGTGATAAAAAAAGAAGTCTGCATCGAATATATTAAAGTTTGTCCTTTGCTTTCCCAACTAGGTGGCAAAACCAAATTTCAGAGGCTATCTTATCCCTTAAAAAATCCTAATTAGGTCAGGCAAAGGGGATAACAATATAACAGCTACAAACTTATTTAGCCCTGTTTGACCCCATTTTTTAGTATTCCTTTTAAACTAATCATTTCATGGAATTGACAATTTTTATTAATTACACATTTTATCAAGTTTTATCAAAATTTACTAAAAATCTGAATTTTAGTAGAGCCAAACGGAGACTTAGTTTCACACACAGAAAGATTCATGAATATTATAGGATTCCACCTTCAGTATCTTCAAGTTGTAGATAAATAAATTCTTTACTCGAGAGAATATCCAAATCATAAAAAAAATTAAACTTATATGTAAAAGCAACAGAATCTAAATAAATAGCCCAAGACCTTATAGTTTCGATTGGAGATATTTTGCCCCTTTTTGGTTCCTCATCTTTCCACAAACTCATTTGCAGCACATGTTTCATGTGCCAACAAATTTTTGACCAGATATTATATCAACTTTTATCAAAATCTACTAAAAATTTGATTTTTATCAAAACCAAACAGAGGCTTAATCCCTTTAACAGAATCTAGTTGTTAACATCAGCAACATCCAGAAGCAAGAAATGAGGAAGAAAACTTACCGGACTTTGCATTGGATGATACTCTGTATATTGAAGGTTCCCATCTACAGCAGCAATTCCCCATTATGCAGAAACAAACAAGAAAGCAATCAAACGGTCTACTTTCTCAATAACTACGACAACCCATCACACAATTATACTCTAAAACAAAGCAAAATAGAAAGTTAACACACCACCACCACCCACTCCTTCACCCAAAAGATAATAAGGAAAAAAAAAAAAAAGTGGACAAAAAAGAAAAGTGAACACTCTCAATGTGAAATGAGTTCTAGGAGTCGGATGTTTTTGAGTGTTTGCAAATGAAACGTGGTCTCTTGGCAATGATGGGGTGGGGGCTTTGTAGGTTTTGTTTGGCAGAGTACTTTGTTTTGTAATTGATTCTTTTAGTGCGCTTTATTTTCAATTTTCTGTAATTGGGCGCCTTTTAAGCCCTGCCAATCCTTTGCTATCATTCGAACAAAGACTGAAAATTTCTACATAAATCCACCCCAACCCCTCCATTGCAAATGTACTAAATACTGATACAACCTTAATTAGGGGTGGGCGCGGGGCGGTTCGGTGCGGTTCGAAACCTTAATTGCCTAATAATACACTCTATATATCTAACTTTAGTTGTCACTAGGACGGTGTTAGGGAATATTCCTAAATTTAGTCATTTTCATTTATTTTATTTTCTTATAATATTTTTGGTTGTATACGACAATTTAACTAAAATAACACAGAATGGTCATTTTTATATCTTGACGGAAAAGAATATGCTCAACAAAATACGCATTACAATTAGAGCGTGATGAAGGGGAATTATTAGTATAAGAAGTTTATAATGAAAAGATCACTGTTACCAATATTAGTCAATTAGGTGCCAACAATTTTAAGTGGCTGTAATCAAAATGGATAGTGGGATACAATGACTAGTGCTTGTGCAGCTATTTTTGGTTTTCCTACTATACTTAGATGAACCTACCAGTTGATCAACGATAATTATTTGTAATCAAATTACTTTCACTATGCTTCAGAATAAGTATTTTACTAAAATATATTAACTCAATATTCAGTCGATCACCTTAGAAAATATAACGGTGAAAGTGAACAGTTTACTTGAAGAACTCTTAGATGATCTATGAAGAATATTATTTCTCTTTTAGTGCCCTTGGAGATATCTTAATCCAACATAGGGATTTTTTAATCCCCTGGAGAATATTATTTCACTTGTCACACGGGGATTTTTTAATCCTTCGACTTATCCCAATATTGAGATATAAACTGAGAGATATGGTGGAAGCTGAGCTCAGAGTATAAGCTTCATATTCTAATTCATCTGACAAGTGCTTGGAACTACTTTAGGATACAATTGGAAGAATTTATGTGGGAGAAATGTTTGTGGTCATGAAAACTGCTAAAGAAACACAGCAATTCAAGCAATCATGAGGAATATTTGTTCATGACCTGCATCTAATGGCTAAGGCAGCGATTTAGTAAAAACAAATAATTTAACTTGTGCAGTTTAGGTTCATGTTTGGCAGTTCAAGCATGCTTCAATATTATCCAGCTTTTCAACTTCACAATCTGTTGAATGTTGTATACCAATTCATTAAAGGGTATCTGAGGTCAATGTACGTAGTGTTCGACAACAGTCAGAAAAATATATTTCTTTCTTTCACCTTTATATTTCAGAACAGTATACTTGTTATACTTTGAGTCTTTTCTGTAAAATGATTTATCAGTGATTCCATCTATTATCTACCGTGTCATTTTATCAATGAGTTAACTAACATAATGTGTCAAAATTCAAAGAAGCAAAGAAATAAAAAATAATACGTATTCGTCTGCTGCTTACTAACATAGCCAACACATAGATGCTCGACTGAGTCTTTCAGGAAATTTGAGCACAGAAAGATTCTTAAAATCAGGCCAGACAGCACAGTTTCTTCAGTTCACCAAATGTATCAGCATGAAACCCCTTACTAGTCTTTTTATAAATTTTAAAGCATAATCAATTTTATGTTTTTCTCCAATACTTATAATTGGCTCTCAGATTGGTGCATAGTTTGAAAACTACACGATTCTCTACATCTATCTATTTAAAAAAAAAAAAGCTTAGATATGGTTATAATTTCTGAAATCTTCCTCAATTTATTCATTGCATTAAAGTTGAACTCTACATTCTACCTTCTACATACATGAGCTTAACTTGAGTGCAAATAGATGAACCTTAAGATTTCAGTCAAAATTATTGCTCAAATACAACCAAACTTATAGCACTAATGCAATCAAATCCAAATTAGATCATGATGCTTAATCATAGACTGCCATGACAGAAATTCACAGAGCATGTTCTCAATGTTCACTTGCAAGTTTAATGATGTGAATTTCATCTTGGAAGGTGAAAAATCAGCGTGCCGTGCAAGCCTAAACCTTTCATCATAATCCTGCAATCAATACAATGGCTTATTTTACTCAATGTTGGGAAAAATCTAGCCAACTAGGTAATGATTTCTTTTGGTACGCAAACCTCTTATGAACATACAAGTATATTTTGTTCAAAAAACTTGTCCTATATTTGCTATTTATCTAACATAAGTGCATTCCTGCATCTGTTAGAGGTGTAATTCTGTTGGAATACATATTTTATGATTGCTGGCACGAATAATGTTCCACTAATTCCCATAATTGAACATAAAATAGAAAGAAATGTTAATGGCTATGCATTCATTGAAGTCTTGTTTATCAAATTCAACAAGAAGCTTGTGTAGCTTAGGACCTCGTGCACTAGGGATTCATACTCCGCTTATTAAATGTGTTTGTGCTGGCTAATGCTGGACAATTCTCATGAGTGAAGTCTATACCTATTGATAGAGTTGACAAGTATTTGATGGCAGATATTGAAGTCACAAAATTGCAAGGCCCTAAACTACAGTATATGCTGTTTCTAGATGTGCTCATTATACTAGAGTGAAATTTCTATCTGATGCTCTCGATTTTGACTGTTTTTCATTTATTTATCGAAAATTCAGCGTTTTAATTGTTAAGTACCACTGAACAAAGATTAAAGAGGTTCAGTCAAATATCTTAAAATTTGTAGTACTCTGAATGCAGTTTCAAATTTTTTTTACCTTCTTTACATGTTCCATAACTGTTCTGGCTGTTGAATTAAAGCTTTTATTCAGAAAGTAAAATATTTATCTCACTTAGAGAAGAAAATCATTAACCTGAAGATATGTTCCTTCCAACAAAATCGCCTATTGTCATTGATTATTAATAAGATAATACAGTATTGCATTAATTTGCATAATCAAAATAATCAGCAAAAGATGGCTAAAAAGGTTTTTGTGCCATTTTTTCTTGTGATGAATGATGACAGTCACATGTGCTTCTCTTTAGGGTATTCATAGTCTCTATGATTTAGCTTGATAAAAGGGTTTTTTTTTTTTTTTTCAGGTGNTTTTTTTTTTTTTTTTTTTCAGGTGTTTTTCACTTAGAATAGACCGGTATGATACAAGACATATTAGTATAAGTAGAAAATGATGGAGACGGGCAAAAATATTTTCCCCTCTACCAACTTGGAAGTAAAAAATACTGGAGGTTTGTCAGTTTTCCTGCAGCTTTAAAATCCTTTTAATGCAAGCACTACAAAACCATTCTTTCTCATGACAACCCTCTTTACGTAGGAGTCAGAAGTCAACCCTTTGCTTGCTATTTAATCCCAACCTTCCATGTGGTTTTTCATTGAGGCAATGGCTAATGTTTTACAGCATTTTTGGGGCCTGTCCCTCTTACTTTCACTTTATTTAATTCACTCAATATCCACTTCCCATGTAACTTCATTACCTTAAGTGCTTCAGCTATTTTGGTCCCCTCTAGTAATGATCAATATCATCTTATTTTTTCTTTTGATTCATGTTCCTCGCAGGTTTACATTGTCTATTTTGGGCACAACCGAAACCGAGATCATCTTCTTACATATCAGTATCATGTTGAGCTTCTCTCTAGTGTCTTCGAAAGGTGTCATCTACCACTCACATTTCTTTTGAAGCTCCACATTAGTACCATGCCTTTGCTTGTTCCCCAAATTAAAGCATGGAATCTGACATATTTTTCTTAAATTTAATTATTTATGTAGCAAAGAAGATGCAAAGCAAGCCATGCTCTACAGCTACAAGCATAGTTTCTCGGGTTTCGCTGCAACTCTTAATTCAAGCCAAGCAACCATCTTAGCTAGTAACGAGTTTATTAACTCTTAATTTCTCTCTATAACAATGCTCCTACATAAAAAATACAGTACATATTTATAACCTCAATTATGGAGATTTTATCAACTAGCAACGAAATGAAGCGAAAAAATTAAATGCAGATATAGAGGGAGTGATATCGGTGTTTAGGAGCAAGACAGTCCGGTTGGACACCACAAGAAGCTGGGATTTTATGGGTCTTTCCGTGGACTACAGCCAAGGAACTCCATCGCAGCTAGCTTATGGTGACAACATAGTTGTTGGTGTCTTTGACACAGGTAACTCCTCCTGTCACGTGACCTAATGCAGTAATGTAGTAAGCTATAACATTCCAATAGCCAAAACAAGGGGAAATCTTCGATTTCAATACACAATTTATTATGTAAAGCTGCATGCGTTTCACAAATGATCAATGCACAATTAGTAAGGAAAATCTCTAGTTACAAGAACCAGTATCTTGATTCGGGGACTTACAAGTATATATTAGAAGAATAGCCTTCACGTGCATGGACTATCCTGCAATGGCTGTATTTTAGAATTAATTTCTTTCTTTTAAATGGCAAGGTATCTGGCCAGAGTCTGCTAGTTTTAAAGAGGAACCTGGCATTGTACCTGTGCCTAATAGCTGGAAGGGCAAATGCATGCCTGGAGAGAAATTCAATCCAGAAAAGCACTGTAACAGGAAGCTGATTGGAGCCCGTTATTACCTGGCAGGGTTCGAGAGACGATATGGACCGTTAAACAAAACAGGATACCCAGAATATCGATCCGCTCGTGATTCCCTTGGTCATGGAACTCACACAGCTTCCACGGCTGTGGGTTCGCGGGCTAAGGATGCAAGTTTATTTGGTTTCGCTCAGGGCATTGCACGGGGAGGATCCCCCAGGGCTTGTCTAGCTGTGTACAAAATATGCTGGAACAGAAATTTTGACGGAACGTGCACTGAAGAAGACATATTAGCAGCTTTTGATGAGGCACTGCACGATGGAGTGCACATCATATCGGCTTCATTTGGTCGAAGGCCACCATTGTTGCCATTTTTTAAGTCCAGTTCCGGTATTGGTTCGTTTCATGCCATGCAATTGGGTGTTCCTGTTGTATTTTCGGCAGGTAACAACGGCCCTGATCCATCTCTTGTCGGAAATGTGAATCCATGGAGCATCTGTGTAGCCGCCTCCACTATTGACAGACGTTTTCCAACCAAGATAATGTTGGATGACATCATCTCTTTCGTGGTAATTTACCAAGTTAATTTTGTTTTTAAACCAACTTTCATTACAAAGCAACGCTGCAAACCACAAGCAAGATGAAAAGAGGAATACAATTCGTGTTGGTTGGGAAAAAATAGCAAAAGAAGCAAGTAAATTTATATAACATAATTACAATTAAGCACTTAATCAGACATATATACCTATGTCATTTATCATCGTGTGTTTTTAAGTAGTAGTTATTTTATTATTATAATCAAAGAGTAATCATCATATACACGGTTAATTGTTTGTCAAGTTTTCACTTTGGTCATTGAACTTTTTTCTAATTACAAATTAGTCACTCAACTTCAAGTTTATTTCAACACGGGGCCGTCAAACATGCATAGCTAGCTGATTTTGACTAATTTAATATTTTAAATGTCTTTTTTTTTTCCCATCTAGTTGGTGCAAACGTGGTTCACAAACTGATTTTGAGTTATGGGTTATGAAATCTTGCTTAAATTATATGTCGTGAAATCTTCCTCAAATACATTAAGAAGAACTACAAAAGATAAAAATAAAATAATCTCCTCTCTTTCAATATTGAATCTATTGGGTAAACTTTCATTTCAAAATTTTACGCGTCTTTTCAATTAATGAAATATTTCCATTTTGCAATATGATAATGTCTTAATAACTAGATACATGATCGTGTGATATTGGGATTACAAGTCATATTTGAACAGTACAATCTGTCTTGAGATGCCAGTGACATAATTGAAATGACAAGATTGGGGGGATCGAGTTTATTTTGCTATAGTTTATATTTTTTTCTTTTTTTGTCATCTATTTATAAAATAAAATACTTTAAACAATATTTCACTTAGGTCTAAGAGAGGTTTTAGTTCACATTGATGGAGCTAGGCAATGGTCTAAATTGAAACAAAAGTAAAGTTTGACGATACTAATTGGGTGACTAACATTGTTTAAACCCAACTAATTTGGGATAAATTTTATAGATCATATAAATACTTGACATTTTAGACAATCATATGGCCTTTATTAATATTGACCATTGTATTCTACAGGACAATGATACATTTTAGTAATTACTAACTAGTAATTATTAATTAACTCATTCCATTTATATTAATTTGCAGGGTGAAGGTTTGATAGTCAAAAAAGTAACAGGAAAACTGGCAGCAGCTAAGAGTTACTTTTATGGAGGGTTGGTGGCATCTTCCCCTTCTTCTTCAATTAATTTTTTTGTATGTTAATTATAAGCAACTAGTTTGACGTATTTATATCAATCGAGGTTCAGGGTTTGCGACTCGGGGAATTTGAGGAACAAGTCGGCCGCAGGTAAGGTAATTTTGTGCTTCTCTGGACAGGTGATGAGCGAAGATGCAGAGGTAGCTGTAAGACGAGCCCATGCAGTGGGGTTAATATTTGTTCAGCCATTGACTAGGCCAATTGCTGCAGCTAGCATCATTCCTGTTGTACGCATTGATTTTATCCAAGGGACTCAAATAGACCACTATCTTGCTTTGTCAGTCGAGTGAGTATTTTATCTGCAAAACAATTTAAAACCTCTTTGGTTAACTTATTGTCATTCAATTGTCTAATAGAAGTCTAACATGAGTGGCCTACGTGCAACTTGAAGACTCCCTATTGTAGAGATATTTCCAAGTGCAACCACCGTCAGAAGTCCACCAGCGCCAATAGTTTCAGATTTTTCTTCTAGAGGACCAAGCTCTATTTCCCCTGATTTTCTTAAGGTACCCTGAAATTAGTGGTATTATATTTCTGAAAAAGTAGTGTTTGTCTTTCACAAAATCTTCAGCTAATCAAACTTATTCATGAACACATATGAAACGTATAGCCAGACATAAGTGCGCCGGGGATCAACATATTAGCAGCATGGCCTCCCAATATTTCTCCCACTGTTTTTTCAACAGACACGCGGTCCGTGGTTTGGAATTTTCAATCAGGGACATCAATGTCATGCCCTCATGTAACTGGTGTTATTGCCATTGTCAAATCTGCACATCCAGACTGGTCTCCTGCTGCGATTAGATCTGCTCTGATCACCACTGGTAAATAATTCGATAAAAAGAGAACAATTCTGCAAAATGAATTTTCTTGACTAATTTCTTGGCTTTATGTTGTTCACTGTAGCATACCAAACAGACATAACCGGCGACAGAATACAAGTTGGAGCATCAACAAAGGCTAGCGATCCATTTGACATTGGTGCCGGACATGTAAACCCATTGAAAGCAATTGATCCAGGACTTATATATGACATGAACACTAGAGACTACATTATTTTTCTCTGTAATAGTGGTTATACAGAGGATCAGATTAAAGCTATGGTTATCTGCCCATTTAGTACATGTGCCAGCTGCCCAGAAAAATATGAACCAAATACCAACATAAATTACCCATCCATAAGTGTACCCAATCTCCAGTGGGAAACAACGATCAAAAGGACTGTTCAGAATGTTGGACATAAGAAGACAGCCATATACTTCGCGAGAACTGTAAATCCCAATGGGGTGGAGGTTGAGGTTTGGCCAAGAATCTTGATATTCTCACCTTTCAAGGAAGAAAATACGTATTTCGTTACCCTTAAACCGGTGAAGGCATCTCAAGGGCGATATGATTTTGGTTCTATAACATGGTCTGATGGCTTTCATTATGTTAAAAGTCCTCTGGTTGTTCAGCTCAACACTGCTGCTACTACCACTTCAGAGGTTGAGGCTTTCTGATACTTGCTACACCAAAATATTTATCCACATTTTTCGCTAACAAATAAATTTTCATCTGATCTGGATTTGAGGCAAGCTTTGAGGATAAACTCTAGCCTTTTCTTTTTTTCAATGAATTTAATAAAGTACTAAAAATCCTTTTAGAGTTCGTTCATGTTATAAGTTCTTTCTAAGCATTTCGCTTTCAAAGAGTTCTTTTCAAACAGATTAATCCATCCCAAGTAATGGGAATATGCTTATCCTTTATGAAATTATACTGTAATTGCTTCAATAATGCACACACGTCATAAGTGTGAAGGGAACGTCAATGTATAATGGCTAGTGCTACTCCTCTTAATAAGTCGACATTTTAAATTGGATAAATAAAAGCTTGTAATTTGTTTTGCCTGTGTATATATTTGCTTTGCGCTGCATACAGCTATCTTTCAATTAAGTAATGCAGTATAAAACTTTTTAATTTGTAATTTCAGTTAGCCCATGTTTGATGATCATTATTTAGCAAAAACAAAGTGTTGAATAGTGAATTTTTTGAGAATGTGATAAAAAAGTAGAGAAAAATTTTAGGTTTGCGTTCAAAATATTTTATTGTGTGAATTTGAGGTTAAAAATGAGTATGTAAAAAATTTGGATAATGGTTGTCAAACAGGGCTTAATTGCATTTTTTTCCCCACTCATTGTACAACTACATGCTTGTGATGAATCATGGACACTAATTAGTACCCAACTTGAGTGATGAGAAAGCGTTTTATGATTATTGAGCCCAATGGCTTTTATTTTACATTCCCACTAGACAGTACAAAGTCGGTTGACAAAGTAGGTTCACAAAGTGACGTGGCATTATTGTTAAAAAAAAACCTTAAAAATTTAAAATCCAAAATCGCATTCTCTCTCCCCATTTTCTCCCAAATCAAACCCTTCTCCCTCCTCAAACGCATTTCCTACCAAAGCATTAACCTCCGGCAATCGCTCAACTCCAGCAATGTACTCGCTTCCACCCCGCTCTGCACAATCGTCAAAGCAAATGCCTTATCGAGACATTCGGTTGCCAAGAAAAAATTTGTCGACAAATCTCATCTCTGAATCGTTCTATTACTGCTAACTTCTTTCGTTTGCTAAAAAACTAAGTGTTTGTTTTTTCAGTTTCGACATTTGGTATTCGTTTTTCCGTCAATATTACTGAAAAAACCTTCTTTGGTTTGCTATAAAATAAGTTTTCATTTTTACAAATTTTACATTTGCTAGACTCATTAGCAAGTCTATTATTCACCATTGAGCTTGCTTCCTTCAAGACTTGATAGAGAAATGCTGCAAGAGTGTTGGACACTTCTTCAGTGATTGCCCAATAAAATGCCGATGCCCACATTGTATGCATGGATTTCAAAAGTTTTTAGAGGTTGAAAGGGACACTGTTAACATAGGCAAGTTCTTCAAATGTTGCAGTGTGAAGTGTTGGTTTTGGGATTGGTTCAAAGATGGATAAGCAATAGGTAAATCTAGTAACGCTAGTGTTACTTTGGCTAAACTAATGGCCCACGAGAAGTTGACGATATGTCGCGAATGTTCCAATCTCAAGTTAGGCTAAATAATGAAGAAGAGCTCTTGATTTCTGTGAATGTCAACATACAATCCGCCAGGAAAATCACCTGCCGAAGGGAAAATGAAGGGGACGGACACGGCTTGATTAGTGGTTTATGTTTAACTGGTTATGTTATGATAAATAGCGGCATGTTGTAAATCTGAATTTCGTCAATTAGTTTAGTCCAGTAAGTTGGTAGATTTTGGTTGCACTGGAAGTCTTACTTCGTGTACCTTGTGTCTTGCTAGCACATTGGATGTTTGTTAAATTATAATGTAAGCAGTTAGGAATTTGATAAATGTTTGGCTGGTTATGTTTTGTTTAATAGCTGGGAAAATGCTGTAAATGGTTTCCAGCTCATAGCAACAACACAACACGTATATTTGTATGGATTATTCGAATAACAGGCAAAACCAGCTCACTGAGAAACAGAAAACAGAACTGACTTTCAATCTGTAAATTCTCTCCAGTCATAGGTTTACTTAGGAATCATAAAAACTGATAAGCAATCATCCAAATAGCATTACTGATTTTTAGAATTATAATCCAACTCAGGTTCAACTGGTTCCATCTTGTAATTCAATAGTCAATTACAAGAGTTCTTACATTTCCAATTAATCAAGTCCTGTAACCAACTAAATCTATGCTTGCGCTAAACATTTATTAATCAAAGTTCACTTGGGAGACATTTCACACATCACACGAAATCACGTCCATTACAAAATTCATTCTGATATCTAATTGTAAGAGTTCAAGCAGCATTTTTTTTTTCCAAAAAATGCACTAAAAGCCTGCCAAAACATCATGTTAGTCATACTGCAACTGCCAGAAGCATTAGATGCCTTCAGAAGCTGTCGTTTGCTCCATCAAATGACACTTTGCTTAGCTGCTTGCCTCAATTTAAATGGAGCCACCATGGTATGGTAAATGTGGATAGTAGTATGGGTTCACATTGCCTAATGCGCAAATTGAAACTAATAAGAGAAGAGGCAGTACTCAAATTCAAATGTTGTTATTAAAATATATATGTGCCTTGTGAATTGGGAATAACATTTGTGGTCGTAGTAGGGATCGACGTAGAAGACGACACTTTTTGTGAGAACACACGGCTCATCCCGTCACCATACATCATGTTGTTGGCATTAATGACACAAAAAGTGTTTGAAAAATAGTGAAATTAATATACTGACCAGTTAGAGTTGCGAATACGATAACGGCATCGGCATGGAATATTGCTGTTGAGGAGGTGGCTGAACCTCGGGTGCCTACATACTATTCCTCGAAACTCGAACATGCAAATGATTTCACAATTCTCTCTCCTGAATGAGACAAGATTTTTTTTCTTTCGTCGCTCGGGGAATACTACGTCGTCACCTACCTCATACGTCGTCCCCATATGTCCCCCTGAAGCAGAATGAGGTCACAGTAAACCTTCCCTATAAACTCAGCTTGAGCTTTCCTAAACTTCGAAATGGTGTACAATGCCTAATATTGTTTTTCCATTTCGTAAGTTGTTGCACACGGTAGCATTTGAGAGAAAGACTTGAAATCAACCTGAAATTCCTTTTCAGTCTTATTCTGCAGTGCTCATTCATACTATTCGACGAACTGCTTCAACGATGTCTTCGAATGTACGTAACCATCAAAGAAGGCGTTTCTCTTGACCTATGGTTGATTTCATCAACAATGTTTTGATTATAACTAACAAGATTAATATTGTTTCGAACAATTGATTTTGAGTAATGATAGTTCAATGTTAAAATCTATCGTCTATTGCCAAAATCAACACATCATAAATCGGACTCGCAATGAATAGCAAAGTGAAAGTTAAGCATTCAAGTCAAATCATTCGAGACGAGAGCTTAAAAGATCAAAATCAAGACTATTAAATCGGGCTCATGAAGAAGGTCAAGATCAAAGTCAAGCATTAAAGCCAAACAATGAAAGAAACTTCGAATCAAGATCAATGACTAGGCTTTCGAGATCATATGTAAATGTATAATACTTTGATCTT